GGGATTACAATCAATGTAATGAAACAAGTTATATGAATTGTTGAATGTGAAACTGATGATGTGCCCTGTAAACTTTCACTCAATCCACAATAAAAAACTTAAATTAAAAAAAAAAAGTAATTTCCCCCCTTTTTATATATTCCATGAATCAACTTGACAGTGAACACAACCAATAATATATTGACCATATAAATCACTTGGATTTTTTGCTTTATGGTTGCATAAATTAATATTCATTAACAACCACAAAATCAGTTGTGTCTCTTTAATCAACTTATTTTATGAGCTATATGGTATCTGTCTGAACATAAGGAAATTATCACATTCTAACATATGGGACCTTCCCAATCATAAAATCTCTGATATTTCAACTTTCAACACAAGAGCGAGTCATAGTTCCTAACCACTTTGTTTAGAACATGTGACCTAAAAATGTCTCTACCTGAATGAGATTCCTTCATTTTTTGTGACCTGGTTTGCCTCTAAATTTACAATCTTCAAATTCTTTCCCTCAGGGGCAGAGACTGTGAAAGCCACAGTTGTTAAACTATATGGAATATATTTGTTTATACTTTCCTTTCCCCTTGAAACAGGAACGAGAGTTTTTAAGTCTTTGCCTCATTATCTCTCATTTCCTAATGTGCTCTTATCTTTCAGCAGTGCTGCCCATTCATTGTAAACACACTTGTTTTCCTTTCTTACAGGATACTCCAGACTATGTTGCCTACGTAGCTAAAGATCCAGTGAATCAACGAGGTATGGAAAGTGACTTCTGAATGTGTTAAAAATTGGTATACACCAACTTTGAAAAGTAATAAGCAATTGTTTTCAACATACAGAGTGAAGCCAATCACTAGAGTACTACATTGGGTTCTAGAAATTTTATGTAGGGTTGAGGTGGAAATAAGTAGACGAATAGGTTTATTAGCAGAGCACTTAAAACCACAATAACAACTGGCAGAGCAAAGTAGCATAAAACCTAGAGATGGGTTTTAAATCCCAGTCATTTGAGATTCCCACCTATCAAAAGTCTTATTACCTATTGGAATACTCTCAGAGGAAGCTGCTTTGGTTGTGAAAAAGGCGTGGACAAATGAGCCAACCTGCTGAGATTATCTATCTGTATTAGTCTCAGTGAATGTTTACATGTGTGTACACATGCATGCATGTGCACAAGTGTGTGCCTCCTTGTGTAATGAGTGTGTGCACTTGCTGTACCACAGTCTGGACTGTCACTTCTCATGCTGTTCATGTTCTGGGCCACAGTTTAAATGTTTCTCTTTACAAAGGCTTTCTTTGATTGACAGCACCTCCCATCCCTAGTAGCATCCCCCATCTCAACCTGCAGCACATGCTTCATAAAAATGTTCTTCCTCTTCTAATAGCAGCTACCCTATATATATATTTTTTTTTACCCTGCATTTTTATTATTTTCTTTATTCACTTGCTAATATATTTAATGTCTGTCCTTTCCACTAGACTGAAAGCACCAGCAGGGCAGGAACTTCTTAGCCTTGGTGGTGGTGGTTATGTGCTGTGGAGTCGGTTCCAACTCAACCCAGTTCAGGGTTTCCGAGGCTGTAAATCTTTACGGGAGCAGAAAGCCTTACTCACTGTTATTTCCCAAGCACCCATCGCAGTGCCTAGAACATAGGTGATGCTTAATAGTTATTTTGTTGAATGACCAAGTGAATGAAAAAGTAAATTGACTGGATTGTTCACTCCAGGATTTGTCAAGGTTGTCCACCAAATTTATCTGCCTACCTACTTCAGGTCAAGGACCTGAGGTTTCTTTGGTTGTTGGATCTCTCTAACAGGCCTGGTCCTCTATGTCTAGCTCTGGAAAATTCATACTCCTCTCAGGGATGAGTATTTGGGTTGGTTCTCTTCCTTCACTAGAGCCTGTTAGTTTCTCTGCCACCCCAGCAATGGCATTTTCCCCAAAGTATTTATTAAGCACCTGTGGAGTGGGACTTAGACATCAAAGAGCTAACTAATAGAAGTCACTTAATAGAACTTCACTTAGAAATTCGAAAACCTAATTAGTAGAAATTCACAGAGTAGAAATGCACAAAGTAGTTTGGGGAGCCAGTAAATAGAACACCCTAGAATGCAGACCAGCATCATAGTAACCCACAGCCGCCACTGGCAAACAGGTGGCAGTAGTGCTTGAAGTGCATTCACCAGGAATCAAACCTGTGTCTCCTGCAAGGGAGGCAAGAAGTCTACCACTGAGCCACGAAGGCCCTCTGTTGTTACTGTTGTTAGGTGCCATCAAGTCGGTACTGACCCATAGCGACCTTAGGAACAGCAGAATGAAACACTGTCTGATCCTGGGCCAACCTCACTACTGTTGCCACGCTTGAGTCCATCGATGCTGCCACTTGGTCAATCCAGCTCATTGGGGGTCTTCCTCTTTTTCTCTGACCCTTCACTTTACCAAACATGATATCCTTCTCCAGCAATTGGTCCCTCTTGACAATATGTCCTAAGTATGAGAGACAAAGTTTGGCCATCTTGGCCTCTAAGGAGAACTCTGGCTGCACTTCTTCCAACACAGATCTGTTGGTTCTTTTGGCAGCCCATGACATTTTCAATATTCTCCTCCAACACCATAACTCAAAAGCATCAATTCTTCTATGGTCTTCCTTATTCACTGTCCAGCTTTCACATGCATATCAAGTTAATGAAAATACCATGGCTTGGGTCAGGTGCACGTTAGTCCTCACGCTGACATATTTGCTTTTTTTAACACTTTAAAAAGGTCTTGTGCAGCAGATTTGCCTAATGCAATACGTTGTTTGATCTCTTGACTGCTGCTTCCGTGAGTGTTGATAGTTGATCCAAGAAGAATGAAGTCCTTGACAACTTCAATCTTTTCTCTGTTAATAAGCATGTTGTTTATTGATCCAGCGGTGTATGCAATCCATCATCAGTAAATGTTTTAAGTCCTCTTCACTTTCAGCAAGCAAGGTTGTATCATCTGCATATCGCAGGTTGTTATTGAGACTTCCTCCAATCCTGATGCCACATTTTTCTTCATATAACCCAGGTTCTCAGATTATTTGCTCAGCATACAAGTTGAATAAGTGTGGTGAAAAAAACACAACCTTGTCACACACCTTTCTTAATTTGAAAGCATTCAGTGTTCCCATGTTCTGTTTGAACAACTGCCTCTTGGTCCAGGTACAGATTCCTCATGAGCACAATTAAGTGTTCTGGAATACTCATACTTTGCAATGTTGTCCATTGCTTGCCATGATCCACACAATCGAAAGCCTTTGCATAGTCAATAAAGCACAGGTAAACATCTCTCTGATATTCTCTTTTTCAGCGAAGATCCATTGGACATCAGCAATGATATCGCTCATTCCATAGCTTCTTCTGAATCTGGTTTGAACCTCTGGAAGTTCTCTGTCAATGTATGATTGTAGCCATTTCTGTGTTACCTTTAACAAAACTTTACTCTCATTGGATATCAAAAAGGTTGTCTGATGATTTCAGCATTCCATTGGGTAACCTCTCTTTGGATTGGCACAAATACAGATCTCTTCCAATCAGTTGGCCAGATAGTTGTCTTCCAAATTTCTTGGCAGAGATGAGTGAGTGCCTCCTGTGCCGCCTCACTGTCTTGAAAGATTTCATTTTGTATTCCATCAATTCCCGGTGCCTTGTTCTTTGCCAATTCCTTCACTGCACCTTGGACTTCCTCCTTCAGAATCATTGACTCATGATCATATGCTACCTCTTGAAATGGTTGAACATCAGCCAATACACAGTGATTCTGTGTATTCCTGCCATCTTCTCTTGATGCTTTCTGCATCATTCAATAATTCGCCCAGAGAATCCTTTAATAATGAAAGTTGAGGATTGAATTTTTTCTTCAGTTCCCCCAGCTTGAGAAATGCTGACCGTGTTCTTTCTTTTTGGTTTTCTGACTCCAGATCTTTGCACATTTTGTTGTAGTATTTGGCTTTATCTTCTCAAGCTGATCTTTGACATTTTCTGTTCATCTCTTGGACTTCCTCATTTCTTCCATTTGCTTTAGTATCTCTACACTGGAGGGCAAATTTCAGTGTCTCTTCTGACATCCTTCTTTCTTGTCTTCTCAGTGATTTTTTTGCTTTCTTCATGTATGATGTTCTTGATGTCATCCCACAACTCTTCTGGTCTTTGGTCTTTAGTGTTTAATGTATCAAATCTGTTCTTCAAATGATCTCTAAATTCAGGTGGACAGTGGTAACTAACAACAGCCGTCAAGTTGGTTCCAACTCATAGTGACTTTATAAGGTTTCCAAGGCTGTCAGTCTTTACAGGAGCCTCATCTTTGTCCCATGCAATAGCTGATTGGTTTGAACTGCCAACCTTGTGGTTAGTTGTCTAGTGCTTATCCTACAGTGGCACACCAGTACTCCACTAGAGCATGATAGGAAAGGCTAATAAGTAGTGAACTAATCAGGGTAAATGGATGGAAAATGTTGTTTGTATAATAGAGATTAAGGAAGATTGATTTGGTAGCAGAATGCAGGTAGATGGGTTTAGTGAGAAACTTAGAGCAGGGAGATCCATTGGAAAGCTATTGAAAGTGTCAGAAATGAAATGATGAGGCCAGCCCTAGGCACAGAGCCTGAATCATAGTAGATGCCCAGTGAATGTTTGCCAAAAGAACATGGCCTAGATGAGATGAATTGGAAGGACAGGTAACCAGCACTATGCAATGTTCCATGAAAACGGAATCCTTTAAAGTACACCATGAAGGATGGATAAGAGTCAAAGAGTGAGTAGGAGAGACAGGAAATCATGACGGGAAAGGAGGTGTAGGAACAGTACATAACAAAGGATACCAGAGAAGAGAAACCTCTTTTAATAACCACCTAAGCTTCCCTAAGGAATAACTGTTTGCTATTTTGGGGAAGATCTCTCAACAACAAAGCCTTTTCTCTTAACATGAAAAGGACAGGATGAGAGGAAGATGAATCATATCAGGAAATCTAGATGCTTAATAACTTTGCTAATAGTCACTGAAGATCTCTGGCACAACATGCCAATGCTCCTCAGTACATGGTGGTAAGGATTTCAAAGATTAATGTAGGTTGCTAAGGGTCGTAACTAAGCAGGAGCTGCATCCTTGCTTGAATGAAACAAGAAAGGCAGAGAAAATTATGATGAAGCATGTTCTCTTAGAAAGCTTCCGTTCTGGTGCCTGAGCTATTCATCAGACCTGAACTTTCTGAAGGGAGATCAAGGTGATCCCAGCATGGGCATCCTGAGGAGGCATTTGTCAAGTGAAGCTATAGGTGGATGTGAGGAATAGGAAGAGAATGGACTCTGAGTCATAGAACTGGGTTCGGCTCTTTCTTTCTTAGCCCTCAGACTGTCTATAGAAAATGACATAAAAGCTGATGTCAGGCAGACTGGGTAGGAGTCATTTCACCTCTGTCTCATCAGATGATCTTAGACAAATTGTTTCACATCCTTGAACCTCAATTTCTTTGTCTTTTAAATGAGGTATTAGTATCTACCTTCTGGCATAGACCAATGGAATAGAATTGAGGATTCAGAAATAAGCCAACACATTTATGGTCAGCTTATTTTAGAAAAGGTGCTAAGTCCATTCAAAGGGCAAGAAGAGTTTCTTCAATAAATTGATGTTGTTGTTAAGTGCCATTGAGTTGATTCTGGCTCATAACAACCCTGTATAAGCTTTGCAATGAGCGGCTGGTGGATTTGAACTGCTGACCTTGTGATTAGCAGTC